AGTTACATCGACTTCAGATTCTAGTAAAAATGTTTAAGTTAGGAATGGTTTAAGTTATTATAATTATATTCTGGCTCGGTGTTATCATTTACCATAGTTGTGGTTATTTGTTTTGACTGTTATTATTATTATCCGTTCAGGAAATTGATTTCATTAGGTGTCGGTATGGTTAGTGTTGTGTTCATTTAGGTTTGTAAATACGAGTTTCGTATTGTTTTTATGATTGGTTTAAATTAAAAGTTTTGTTCGACGTTAATCGTTTATATTGATTTGTTAAATTTACTTTGATATGTGTTAATATTAATTATATTGCTTGCTTTCAGTTGAGTTAGTATTGTCCTTATCAATGTTTTATTATTATTGTAATTGTTAATATTGTTTTTTAATTATTGCATATCCACAATTTTTTTGCAAGTACAGGAATCTGGGTCTGAAAACGGCTTTGATTTCTTTTCTTCCATGCATAATGAGACGAAAAATGTTTTTCTGCGTTTAGAGGATATGCGCCCCCCTCAACACTGCACCTTCTTCGCTGAGCTGCTGCTTTTATTTGTTATTGACGTATTATTATTATTATTATTATTATTATTATCATTATTCATTGCTATCGTTATCATTTTTACTACTATTAATATTTTTTACCTTATCATCGTCGTTCAATTGTTGTAATTTTTTGTTATAAGTATTATTATTATTATTATTATTATTATATTATTACTATTATTATTATAACTGTTATTAGTGTTATCAGTGTTTTATATTATATTTGAGTTTTTTTTTGGTTGTATCATAATAATACGCGAAGAAAGATCATGATTTTTCACCTGAATTCTGTTGCAATGTTTTGCACTCGTTAATAAACATTTTGGGAGCATTTTCATATTTCTGTGGCATTACTGAGTGTGCGTGCGATTGTTTGGCTTCGATTGACAGTTATATCTGCCATTTAATGTGGACATCTTCCGTTGCATTAAAAAANAATACGTAAATTAAATGCAACAGTGCTTTATTTATAATAGAAATAATTTGAAGAAACTCACAAATGTTTAAAACATTCCGTAGATTTAAATGCTATCGTTATTCACAATAATAAATTCAATACATTACATCTTACATGGAAAATGTCGAAGAAATCATTCAGAATATGAGAATAATGCATTTCTGTCGGAACATTTATTAATAGATCAAAAATAAACTTTTTTACGGTCAATGTGCGATAGTAATAATAAAGATAAAACGTTTGACTTGTTTACGGTCAATGTGCGATAGTAATAATAAAGATAAAACGTCACGTTTCAGTTTAACTAGCGATTTATAGGATTGGTTTCAGAATAGGAGAACACTGAAGATGGAAGAAGAGTCGAATGATGACAGGACAAATACAGCTGAGAGCAATGACAATGAAAATGATGCAGTGAACAGTGGCAGTAAACAGCAACAGATCAACGAATTGCCGCTATCTCGAATCAAAGCGATCATGTTCAGTAGCAATGAGCAGGTACCCGTATCGAGCGAGGGCCTCTTCGCGATGACCAAAGCTTGTGTTCGTTTCATTTACCACTAGCTTTTGTCGTATGATTTTATTTATCTTTATGGATGTTATTGTTGTTACGATTGTCATTGTTATTATTTTTTTATTAGTATTATATATTTTTTGTCATAGTATTATATTATTTATAGGAATTATTTATCAGTAAACTGGCAAGAGAAACGTACGAAACGAATAATAAACCGTCATGTATTGAGTACTCTCATCTGGCTGAATATGTGCAAGAAAATGATGAACTAGAGTTTATACACGGTATGTTATTTTTTAAAATTTATGTTATTCATTAAAATATTTGTTTTCTATTGTTATCTTATTAATATAGTATACATTATATTCAAAACGTCATTTTCATTCCTTGTTACGTTTATGAATATTTTTATCCATACTTTTCACTTACTGCTATTGTTGATCAGTGATAACAATGATTGAAACGTTGGTATCGATGTTCAAAATTCACGATTATAGAAATGTTACCAAGGATGCGTCGGTTCAGTGATATTGCACATTTGGCTCCAACAAACCAAAATGATTGATAATAGATAGGCATTCATTCTGTTATCAAGATGTCTAGACAATTTTCAACGGGATATCGTAGAGAAATGATGTAAAGGAACGCAATATTGTTAATTTTATCATTTCTTTGATATTCATCATCTTGTTTGTGAGGGGTGTCACTATAATTGTCATTGTAATTGTTGCAATGTTATTATTATAATGGTCGTTATTATATTGAATTTAATGATCTGTTTGCACATTCAAGTGTCTGTATATAGATGTGTTATTCGAATTTTTTTGATGCGTAGTTTGGTAAGAATTGAAAACGCATGAAGAGTGTCGTCATCGTTGGCGTTGTTAATTCTGTTCAACAGAATTACTTCGAATTCTGCTTTTCGTAAAAGAACGAATTCGTGACGACACTTTAAAGGAGAATTGTCACACACCGAAGATGTCAATCCAATTCTCATGTAGAATGCGCTTCATCGAGGATTTATTCGATAAATTCAATTCAGTAATAAAAAATGGTAGTGATGATATAAAACGGAATATGTTGAGAACGCGATTAACAAAAACGAAATATATTTGGAATAAGGAAAATGATTCGTTTCGGAGCGATACTGGAGGACTGGGATAGATAGCAAACGATGGGAATAGAAGATGAACGCAGACAGGTTGAAGGAGGAGATCAGCAACTTCGAGTGGTATTGAATATGGATGTGAAGGGAAGAGCAAAAGTGCGGAGTTATCGGTCGAAAAATCGTATTAAGGGGGGGAGGTTTGACGGAAAATAAGTGTACTGAATCTCTAAAAGCCCCCCCCCCCCCAGAGTTTCTCGTTATCGGTCCTGACGGAAGTAAGAGGTGACACAATCTCAAGGAAATAAAGAATGAACGAATAGTGAACAAATGACAATTCAAACGAAAAACAAGCAAAAATAAGTATAGGGGCTCAGACCATCTAGTTACACACAACCATACACACATATATCCCCATATATATACATACATATACAAACATATCCATATCTCTATAGATATAAACCAATATCTGTATTGGAAGGGGTTTACCGTTTATCGTGTAGTTGGATTTCTTCAGGTAGAACGTTCGCAACAAACGTAACATTTACTTGTACAAACACTCACAACAATAACAATCACGCAATTAAAGAAGTACACTCGAAACACTATCAATCCATCGAATTGCTCAAAGATTTATGATAACAAACAAGAAAGGATGAGTGACATCAGGTTAGATAAGACAAAAGCTATAATAAATGACGTGAGATATTAAAAACAAAAATAATGTTTTCAATATATTCCAAAATAAAATGATCGCATAATCGTGAATATCATGATTCACGACAACATTCACAACCATTTAGACACCACACATCTATCAGCTGATCTCGAGGGAATAACGGGGACACAGTCGGGGATAGATGTATGAGCGAAACTTAACTTCAGGTCGAGAGATAGAACTTCAGTCGTGATCAAGCGAAGTTCATCTTTAACATACCCAGTA